AGGTGAAGTATTTCCAGTGTAATGTGAGACCTACTTCTATAGACACCTCCAAAAAACCCAGGGCATATCTTATATCCCACGTTATAGTCTATGCCCTGATAAACTTTTTACATCATTTTTGTTGTTGTTAAGGTTAGTTTAGATAATTAAAATGTTTGTTCATCAAAGGTCTGATTTTACTGTTTTTAATGCAATACTTCATTTTGATGTTAATATTTAATTGCTGAAATAATGTTTTTATATGTGTATATGTGCCAAATTCAATAACCTAGAAAATTTCCTCTATAACAAATTCTAATTTATATTTTTTTCTGAAAAAAGATTGGTACAGGTTGACCATCACTAGTCCGGTAATCAGTAATCCAGTACAATCAGTAATCTGGCACTAATTTCGGCTAGAATAATTTCAAATACAGTAAAGCAAGATACACGCTATTAGGTAAATACTTTAATCTCCCTTGAAAGAATTAATTTGTAGTGTACCTGTGCCTGTATTTCATTAAATTTTTCACTTGAATTTATTTGATAATTATCTTTTCTTTATTAATCAACTTGTACTGTTTTATGGGATATTTTAATTTTAAGATGAGGTGATTAGCTAGTGGGTTTGGTGTATTCTAACCTAATAGATGGCTAATCCGGCACCCTCCAGGTCCCAATGATGCCGGATTAGTGATAGTCAACCTGTATATTGTTTACAAATAACAGATATGGTGTCAGAAAATGAAGCTGATAAGGCTTCCTGATATACTTTGTTGATTTGTTATAGAACGGTACACTTATGAGGACCATCAAAATTGTTTTAATATGTTGGAAAAAAACAACAACCTTGCAAAGGTTCTACAGCAATCAAAAGCTAAGGTTTTAATCCAAAATATATTGTTACACGTACTTCGCAAACCGATAAACATCCATGAGCAATTAAATCCTTCCGACACATCCAATAAGTTAGTTTACCTGATAATTTATGTTGTTGAGGATTAAATCAACCATATAAGAATAATGTTACAAATCCTGTGCTGCCCCTGGTAATATTTCCTCCAAAACTGGTCATACCTAATCTGATGGCCATGAATACACATTATTACCTGACAAACATTGCAATTTCCATTGGAATGAAACTGTGCAAAGGATGAAAAGTTTCAACTGTAGACCATAAGCCTTGCCCAACTATCACAGACCCTCCACTGCACGTAGGGTTTCCTGACCATGGGCAGTAAAGTTCATTGGAGATAAATCAAGGGTTTTGACAGTTGTGTGTTCAAAGTTTATATACGACTGTTTGGATTCCTGCTTCTATATAAAGATAGCTTTGGTCATCTTTCTAATGGAAAGAGTTGTTTATTAGAAGTTTGTGAACTTTAGGCTTACAAAACATTACTTATTATCTTTGTTAATGATACCAGAAGATAGGCCTAGCTTTGTTTCAACAATTTCATGGGTTGGAGGTTCTTACATCTCCGCAGAGAGACATGCTGTTTTTTTTTTACTGTTTCATCTTCTTGCAAACACTTTTTAATCGACCGCCACTCCTTCGTTTCCTGACAAATTAACTTGAAACTTGTTAGGGTTATACCTTGGTCCAATATGACCAGATAACTTTTTTTATTTTTGTGATTTAGGACTTTTTAAAGATATTATGGGGTGAAAGGTCAAACAACCCCAAAATTTTTATATTTTGGGCTCCTGTGCCATCATATTTACAGCAATCAAGATGAAAATTGGCACAAATATAAATTTTCATGTGCCCAACTTATTGACATACAAAAGAGTTGGACTTTTGCATTTTGATTCTCTTTAGGAGGGTCATAGCTCACAATAGAGCATAATTTTGGTGTTTTGGTCAATTACTCGACCACATTTTGACCAATTTATGTGAGATTTGGTACAAGGATACTTTCTTGGAGATCCCAAGCAGTGATATAGACAGTTTTCAACTTTTCTGTGTTTTCACGAATATTCTACTGTCAAAATTGGTCATGTTTTGGTTGCGTGGCAGAGACATATTGCATTTCCTTGCAAATGTTTGCCTGTTTAATTTTTTCGTGACATTCACTTTTGAGGTGAGGGTGTTGCTCCAGAAATTTGTATGGGGTGTGGTTTGAAAGCCCATTATCATCCTAAATGCTCAACTATGTGAGTTTTTTAGTTTTATAGAGAATGCTGAAGACTCCGTGCTTCAGAAATCTGCATATCAAGATTGATAAATGCTGTAAGGTCAAAGGTCACACTCAAAAAGTGCAGTGACATTCCCTTTAGCCAAAAGGTTAAACAGTCGAGAATTTTTTTATAAGTCAAATATAAATATAGGTGTGTGTTGCCAAGGTTCACACCCACGGTAACACACAGTTACACTAGTACATAAATATCATTCTTATAAAGTAGAATTAACTCTATAACAGTGGTTTAATTATTTCTATTTACAGCTAATTTCTCTAGTAACTCAGCATAAGTGAGCATAAATGGATAAAAAAAAAACCTTTTATTTTTTTTCTTCTGACAACCAGGGTCAAAACACAAGGGTAAATCTTTGATAACATCGTGTCTCGGAACCTTTCGAGTGTTATCATTCACGTGAGGAGTACAAGGAAGATACTTATTTCTGAAACAAAACAGAGATTTAAACAAAATTTAATTTAAGCACTGCATTGTCAGTAAGTGTAAAATTTTATTTTTGTAGTCCATAAATGGGAAAATAATGAATCACACATAAAAAAAATACTTTATATATTAATAGTTTTGTCTTCTTAAAATGTTAAATAACCTATTTTGTATCATAAGTGAAAAAAGCCCAATTATGAAAATTTGTTTGTTTTTGTTTTGTTTTTGAATTTCGCACAAAGCTACACGAGGGCTATATGCGCTAGCCGTCCCTAAATTAGCAGTGTAAGACTAGAGGGAAGGCAGCTAGTCATCACCACCCACTGCCAACTCTTGGGCTACTCTTTTACCAAACGAATAGTGGGATTGACCATCACATTATAATGCCCCCTCAGCTGAAAAGGCGAGCATGTTTGGTGTGACAGGGATTTGAACCCGCGACCCTCAGATTGCGAGTCGAGTGCCTTAACCACCTGGCCATGCTGGGCCTATTATGAAAATTATAGGTAGGTTATTGAATAAGATATTACGCTTGTGTAACAGGTATTTATGTTTCTTTATGCTTTCAAAACACTGAGAAACTTGCTCAACTCTGTGAACAACAGAAAGAGAAGCTTCCTCAGAGACTATTGATGGTAGTTCATAAAACCTGGTTTTTATCACCAAACAATCTGAGTGTCGCTTACCTTATAAATTCCATACAAAGCTAAACAAAAGATTAGCTATGCATAACCATCCATAATTTTGAGCTTATAGGGAAGATGGCTTAATCAACAGCACCCACTACTAACCAAATAGCGCAACGAAAGTTCTCAAACAAACGTGAACTCTAGGATTCACAGTCCAGCAAGTCAACAACTAGGCCACACCCAGCCAAAATGAGCATAGGTTGTGCCGTAATACACTTCTAGTCAAGTAACATAAAACTTCACATACGTAATAAATTATTTTGTGACTTGAGATTTGTAAAAAATTTACATATTTTTAAACACATGGTATGTATTGAAAACATGCTTGTCAGAACTTGAAATCTGCTTTTTTCTCGCCACTAGTAAATGTTTCAAAGTAACTTATAAAAGTGCCAGCTAATGAAAGAAAACGAGATTCAGGAGTTATCCGCCATTAGGCTAAAACTAGTCAGTTAAAAAAGAAGTTAAAGTTAAAGAAGTTAATAAAGGAAAATGTATATAATAATAATCAATTAACTATTTTAACTAAACTGGCCCTC